TCGTTCATTTGGCGAAAAAGAGTCCGATATCTTGAACAAAACTGGTGATTCGATTATTCTGATGGTACACGGGATATCAGAAGCCGGTCCGGAAGTCAAACGGGATTTAGTGCAAGTATTGCAAAATCGTCTTGATGATGCAGTACTAGAAGTGCTGTCCGTGATGTTGGCACGTAACCCAATGTGTAAGCTGACACCGGCAGATGTGCATTTCATACAAAAACCATACAAGTCTCCCGAATGTATAGTACAATTGTCGGTACAGCCACACTGCTTACGATATATGGATGCTTTGGGATATTATTTGAGGCAGAATATACTGCAATTCATGTATACGCCAAAATATACGGATTTTGGTGCGCATTATCATTTTCAGGATTACACCCCATTAGATGGTACCAGAAAGAAAGTATCCGAATCCGATATCTTCTTATACAATCAAAGCCACTCGAGTGGTAGTAAAGGTATAGCTTGTATCGCGTTAGCCATTACCGACGTCAAAGGAGAATCCGTAACGTACTCAAATGACCTAATTGACGAATCAAGCTTTTTTAAGTTATTGAAGTTTGAGAATTTCGAGAGCATCGTATCGACGAATATTTACGATTATAAAAGTAATTCTAAACCGAACGCACAAACATTAATCGAATTTCGAATCTGGAAGCAAGGCAGAGTCAACCTGGAATCATTAATTCTAAAATTATCGTCCGCTGTGAAACATGGTACTTGGGATTTAGTTACAGAGTATAATCTTCTAGCGACTCCGTTGACGGAACCAATTATTGATTCTTCAGCAACGGTCGGTGAAGCGGAAAATAAAGAAATTCAGACACCCGTAAAAACATCACAGTCAACACAAAAAGTTTCCGAGAATTTAATGATTAATCAGCACGAGCTCAGCGAAAAAGGAAAATTGGATGGAACTTATCACACTACACTAGCACGCTGGTTTCAATTTGCATTAGAAATGGGAGTTCCTGCCGTCAAGAAACACGAAGTGATCGTTCACCACAGGCATGCGATTCCCGTGATCGTGAGAGAGCTGCAGAATCTCATACGTAGTCAGGATCCAGACACGTCTAGCAAAGTTTTTGTTTTGCAAGATCGACAACCATTCCTAAATCAATTTATCATTTCGCATAAAACTGGATCTGCACTCAAATGGTCTGACAGCATTCGAAACAGTTCCGATCAGTTGTTAGCGGAAAATATGGATCAAGAAAATGCAAATTCACCCGTGTATGTGCCGCATGAGTTTAACAAAGAAGAACAAACTACTTATATCAAATGTATTTTAGTCGCGAGGAATTTTCATCAGTGGAAGGCATCTTTGGGTAAAGAAATAGATCTGGAACTGCTTGCTCCTAAAGGTCGGTTAATTTAACTTCAACTCAAGTCTTATACACCTCATTATTAATTCTTTCACATTTTATGTTACAGATCAAAAACAATTGCAAAAATTTAATCCTCTTATATCGGAATCAAATTTTGTGCCTAGGCAGAGGATACTGTTAGCTGAAATATTAAGTGACAATGTTAGTGTTTATTATGTAACACAACTATAAAACATTTGTAAATAAGATTGAGAATGCTCACTTTATATTATATTTTCAGATAATCCTTTATATGTACAATTGGTCCAAGGAAAAATCAGAAAAATTGATCAAACAAACGACAAGTTTAGGAACATGGCTCTCCTCTAGATCGAGTCTATTTACCAGCATAATCATGCAAAAATTGGGTATATTTCATCACAAGTTTACCCGAGAATCTCGGCAGAGAGTCGAGCACAGTTCTCAATATTACCAGATCAACGATATGGAAAGTTTAGCAAAATTTCCAAGTCAATCAAATACCGATGGTAAAGACTGGACGCGATCAAGTAATCGAGTGCAGTCGATGAAAAATAACGTGTTTTCGTGGGCTCAAGTGGTCGGGCAGGTGATGCGCGATGCAAAACCAAGCGCTCCACATCTTCACAACATGACTGATACGATTGTAAAGGCTGCTTATGACTTACAGGATCTTCGACATCGAGAAAAGAGAATCAAAGGTAATCAATCACCAAATTTGCGTGTATTTAAATGATTACGGTAACATATAATCTGATACATATTTGTAGAGGATTTGGAGAAACTATACGCAATGTGGCAGAGCCGTACGTCTAATATACCGATATTACTGAACGCTTTGAATACGTTCAAGCAATACTCTCGTTTAATACATTTCTGCCATACTCCGCTCCTCTTTTTGCCTGCCTGGCGTTTGCAGTCCGCCGCCACAAGGGATCATTCATTGACGCCGCCGCAGTCATCTCACTTTGGCTTGAACGGTAATGAACAATCATCGCAAGCGACGCAGTCGAAACAGGAAGTAACAAACGCAATTATGATAAAGTGGCATCAAGAGCTCTGCAAATCAATGCTATCCGAATATAGACAATATCTGCAGATTCTGGGTTTTAATCCAATCCAAGTGGAATCACCGCATAAAACGTTTGTTCAAATTCAATTATTCGATTTTGATTTAACGAGTACGCGCGTATTTTTCTACAAATGCGTTACGTTTCTTTTACAGAAACGAGGAGCACGCTCAGCAGCAGTCTTATTATCTCAAGAAATCGATGCTGGGCGGCATTTTGCTGTTCGAAGTTCACTTGTCACAGCCGTTTTTCATCGTGAAGTTGCGTATCATTGAGTGCAATCGCTTACAGACGAAGACGAGTAGCGGTATGATGAATCAAGTAAGATAAATTTAAATTGTATTCCCATGAATATGCATAGGATAATTAATTTACAAATATATTACTTTATTACAGTTTGTACTAAGTTTTGTGGACGTTTGCGACAAGATTCAAATCAACATGCATTTGCATTCGTTTACATATGATTTTCATTTGCGTTGTATTCACTCCTACATCGCTGGAACTGGATTGTGGTCCTTGCAGCAAGGTTACCACCTCACTCACTTTATGGATGACTTTATCAAATATTACAGCAAAGCACCAAATTACGCCAGAAATCTGATATACAGCGGTAAGCTTCGAAAACGCATATTAGTGGTTCAAGTCACTTTCGTTTATTTCGTAACACAGTACATTTAACATTGTTGTTTCAGACATGATAACAATCCGCGATATAGCGATACCTGCACGTACGCTATACTCTTATTTGCTCTCACATGAGAAGGTATACGGCATGCGTGTGTTCGTGATGTCCGGCGAACTCCAGGAATCTCATGACAACGAATATGTCCTAATTAAACTGCAAAGTACTCCCTCGGTTAGTTATTGCGACGCCCATGATATAAAGTGTACAGACGACTTCGACGTAGCACTTATCGTGTCGCGCATGGAACAGTCACCGCAAATCGAGAAGACTGAGATTACTTTGAAATATTATCTGATGTTGACAAGTAAGAGGGAATTATATCCAAAAAGAGAGGTGGAGAATAATAAGCTGGGCAAATTTAGGACCGTGTACAGCGTTGGGAAGCCTGCTACCAGCTCGTGTACGGACAACCCGATGGAATCTAGTTCCGCTTCGCGTATGTCGCCGTTTACGAGATACAACACCAGGACAGAAATGTTGAACCTCGATCAGCAGGAGAGGAGTTCCTCGAGCGATGTGACTACTAAAGATATTGATATCAAAACGCCGAACTATAATGTTCACAACAATTCGGCGCCAACGCCTCCACCGGTACCAAATTCTCCCTTAGCGCAAACCTCCAACATCCCAAGTGCAGTCTCGGACACACCACCGCCACCGTCGTCATCGTTGTCATCCTCATCCTCATCCTCATCCTCATCCTCATCCTCATCATCCTCATCATCATCATCATCATCATCATCATCATCATCATCATCATCATCATCATCATCATCATCATCATCATCATCATGCTCCTCCTCCTCATCATCATCCTCGTCGTTGTCGTCGTCGTCGTCGTCACCGCACTTGATGCAGATTCGTCAGGAATCAGTAAATTACTTAGGCTACTATTCGTCGCACGAACAGCTTATGCAACAGATGATCATGGCTCAAGCGAAAGCTGCCCGTCAGCACATAACGAACATGGTAGAGCGCGGTGCGTTGCAGTGCCGAACACACTTACTTTGGGATAAACTGTTAGAGAACAAGACATCGATGGCATACACTGAGTTCAAGGAGCTCTGTTCGTTAGCCCACATCGAGCCCCTTTCGAATCTGGATCCTAGGCTCGGTCCGCTCGTTAATCAGTCAGTATCATGGTATCAGGCGTTATCCAAAGTGTTACAGAATAAATATCAAGAGCATCATAAGCAATTTATTACTTCTGATGGAAATATCACCCATCATCTCATATTGCATCCGACTCTTGTTCAAGCGTTCATGATGCTGACCATCGATATGCATACATTGAGAGGGGTATGTAGTAGTAGTACTGCAAATGCGAGATTTGAAATATAAGACAAAAATAATCGCACGAAATTAAATATTAACATTGGTTTTAGGACTTATGCGCAGTTTATCAAAAATCCACAGAGATTAACATGCCAATAAACATGGAAGACATCTACGCCTTAGTCGAAGGTTTCGTCAACGCTTGTTGCTTCCACTTATGGATGGGCCTTTGCAGCCAGTGATAACATTCCAAAAGTACAATACAATGGCGTATTGCTTGTGAAAATGACATACTTACAAAAAATTGTTATATGCAGTGTTATGTAGCAAAATATCTTTCTGAACGCATAGATCAGTACTCTAATTGCTAATATGGATTATTATTACACTTATACAATTTTGTAAATATGAAATATATATTTTCATGTTACATACATTAATTCTCATGTAATTGATCGAATAATAATTTATTTGATAATACATAAAGTTTAAGCTAGCTTTAAAGGGAGACTAAAAGTGTAATATTACGCAGCATTATCGATATTTATCTACTCAGGAAACTCGGAGTTAGTAATTAAGGACTCTGTGCAATAATAAAAGAATGCAATTGCTTTGTTTTTTTTATAAGAAATACAACATTCACTTTATTCTGCGATTTCTAATCAATAATTCCCTAACAATTTCGCAAGGAGTTCCGTAACTATAACGGTGCCTGTGTGCGGTGTGTTTCGCTAATATCCCGTTCGATGTGTGTTATTATGAAGTAACGTCTGTTCAACTGTAAATTTTATTTCGTTAGATCTCAAGAAAAAGAAATTACACTTGTTTAACATCACATTTCGAGAATGATTAATATTAAAACGATATTTAATGATTACTATAATTAAGAATTAGTTATAATTATTAATACTAATAGTGCGTACAACCATACAGTTTTTAGGGAAGGACAGCATTCATATTGAAATCTTTTAATTAGGCTCAGTATCTCTCGATTAAATTTTTTCTCTCTCTCTCTCTCACACATTTCTCTTTCATTCTCACAAGCATTCATCGACATACTTTTGCTGCTTTTTTTCTGGTAAAGAACCAGACTATCGTTACCATCGCTGTATCTCTATTCAATCTATCGAACCGGTTAAAACATCGCTGACTTCAAAGTGCAGTATATTACATTTTTTCATCCTATATTATTTCTTATGACAAACTATGTATCTAACTATTACAGTTATGTGTGAATCTTATCTTTAGCTTATCCTTATCGCGTAAAACTGAACTAATCTCTCCTTATCTTTCCTTGTTGGGAATTATCGTTAAGCTCAGCATCTTCTTCCAAGATCCTCTTCAACAAAATAAACCCTAGCTTCGGGTATCATTGACAGTTATTCTCACGTAATTACATCAGAATTATACGTATATACATATCCGTACGTCTATATGTATATATCGAATTTTTCATTAGATCTTGAACGAAGACCAAGCGTGTCACCAGAACGTCACCGACTGGACGCGTGAACGCATAAACGCGTGATTATGTAAGGAACGAGTTCTCGTAATGTACTTTACTCTGAACAGGCAGAATAACACATGATAAACTGCTACAGTATATGACAACAGTGTTTCAGTAAGCTTATGCAAATCCAAATCCTTCGCTGCATTCGTGAATTGCCTTGAGTAGATTTGTACGTAATTTATCATATGTCTCGTACACTGGTAGATCCAGTTGATTGAAACTACGATTAAAGAATACAGTTTTAGCCTCGTAAATTCGCGATCGATTTAATTTTAGCTTGTGTTTGAGATGTAAACAAAAAGATTTTCTTTTCGTATAATTACCAAGTATGGGCAGATGGAAGCCTGTCTGTTGATCTATCTTCTCTGTGAATTTGGAACTTTTGTACACCGTTCATGCCTTCTAACGCGGCGAAACCTTGTAGCGGCACTTTGGATGTACCAGTAACGAATTGTAAGAACTTGGCACGATCTGCCTGATCAAAACCTCGTAATGCACGCCAGAACCACTGAATCTGTATTTTGGAAAAAAAAAAGATAAAATACACACATGGTATAAAATATCCTTTCAAATATAATATATAAAATATACCTGTAAAGACGTAGCAGTATATTTATGGTACTCGGTATTTGCTTTAAGATCTTCAATATCTACATTAGGCAAGCCACTGATCAATAATTCTAGTTCTTGTTCATTAAATATAGAGATCAGTCGTTTAGGTATAATATCATAAAAGCCTTCCAAGAACGCATTTAATCTATAGAGGAAGATTTAAGATGTAAAAATAGGATAAAATAATTAAACTAATACTCTTTTTACTCGATTGCAAAAATTTAAATCCACTTACTGTTTACGAATTGCTCCAGTCATCTTCATTTGACATACGAGCCTAATATATTCAAGTTTGGTCTCTTCTGTAACAATTATATTACGTCCATTTGGTATTAAATCTCGCACGTCGTTGACACCAAATTCGTTCACCTAGAAGCAATACGTATATTTAGTAATTGAAATACAAAGCCAAAAATTATGTTGAAATAATTGTTCTTTACTTCCGTGGAGAACGTTAATTCGTATCCCAAGTCGGAAATATTATGTTCCGTAAGATAAACGAGTCCTTTATAAAAACTATAATCCTCACTTTCCATATCCGTATGTTTCACGAGTATGCCAAGTATATGTTTATAGAAACTACGTGTAAAATAGCATTCTAATAATTTGTTGTCATAAATAGCCTTAGCTACAAAAATAACATGAGAATTGCATAATTTTAGAATTATTTCTTGTATCTGATGTCTCCGTTGAAAATCAAATCGAATACTTACCAATTACTCGACCGACAAATTTATAATAACACAAATGATTGGGATTACAGTGTGAAGATGAATTTATCATGTATGTTACTCGATCGCCAGGGCTAACGGTGAACAGAGCGTACATTGGATTGAAGATTTCCCTCGAAATTATGACATACCACTCCCTCAGCAATCCTCCCGCATCTTGTCCTTCCTCACCTTTTAAATTAAAAAGTAAAATATTACTTAGTGCCGAAATTTATGAAGTTTGTACAAGCTTATCAGGATAAATGTTAGGAATCTGCACCTTCGAAGACGATATAAAAGCGATTTTTCCATTCGTCAGCATTTCTTCGATGAAGCTCCCTGAATGAATCTTCGAAAACGTGACTCCTACGAACATGAACTGCCAATTCTTCCCTACGTATACCCTCGTCCATCCGTTCTAATTCTGTTCTGAAGTAACGTCTCTTCACGTCGAAGTCTAACACTCTTGTGTGATCCACCAATACGGAAAATGGTCCATCTGCTAAGTGTGTAGTCGTTTGTCGTAGAATTTGATTGAGTACAGTTCTGTGTGTTTCTGTGCGAATAAGATACATATTACATTAAATAAATAATAGTAAAACTATGACTTCATCATTAGTTAATATTGGGTATGGGAATAAGTTTCCACCCATTGTAGAAAGATGTCGTTAGTAGCATTGCTTATGTGTTTGATAGAATGGCAACAAATGGTTTGAAAGGTTTGTGTTCAAACTTTTGAGCCCAATAGTTGGCATTCGTTCGAAGCGTAAAAAAAGAGTAACTTTTTTTGCGTTGAAGATGCCGGAATTTATTCCAAAAAAGCAACATTTGCGGGAAGTTTTACTCCATTATTTTATTTTAAAGAAAAGTGCTGCAGAATCGCATCGTTTGCTCGTAGATGTTTACGGTGAGCATGTTCCATCGAAAACCAGTTGTAAAGAATGGTTTCGGCGATTCAACAATGGTGATTTTGACGTGCGTGACAAAGAACGCGAAGGTGCACCGAAAAAATTTGAAGATGCAGAATTGCAAGCATTACTCGAACAAGATTCATGTTTATCGCTCGATAGGTTGTCAAAAGAGTTAAATGTTGATAGATCCACTGTTGGAAAACGTCTACACGTAATGGGAATGGTGCAAAAAGAAGGAAATTGGGTGCCATACAAATTGAAAGAGAGAGACATGGAAAGACGTTTGGTCATCTGCGAGATGCTTCGTCAACGACAACAAAGGAAGGGTTTTCTACATTGTATCGTAACTGGCAATGAAAAATGGATCTACTACAATAACCCTAAACGCTTGAAAGCATGGGTGGTGATGCCAGGTGAACCAGGTCAACAACGCCACAACGAAATATCCATGCTTCGAAGATTATGTTGTGCATCTGGTGGGATCAGAGAGGTGTTATATATTATGAGCTGCTCAAACCGTCCGAAACCATCACTAGCGATCGTTATCGACTACAACTGATACGTTTAAACCAAGCTTTGAAAGAAAAACGACCGGAATGGGACAATAGGCACAACAAGCTGATTCTGTTACATGACAACGCTAGGCCACACGTTGCAAAACCGGTCAAGAAATACTTGGAAGGAGTAAAGTGGGAAATTCTGCCCCACCCGCCGTATTCACCGGACATTGCTCCTTCAGATTTCCATTTGTTCCGATCCATGCAGTCGGTCCTTTCTGGAGAACGATTCAATTCTTATGAAGATATCAAAAAATGGCTTGATGAATGGATCGCTTCAAAAGAACCAGATTTTTTTCTTTCGAGGAATCCGTTTATTACCGGAAAAGTGGGAGAAAGTTGTCGCTTCCAAAGGAGCATACTTTGAATAAACTCACTTATATAGATTTGTTTAAATAAACACATCTTTTTCTTTTCAAAAAGGGCGGAAACTTATTCCCATACCCAATACATACCAGCAAATTTGAGGAACTTTAGTTGATCCGGTGGTAATGTTTTCTGCGGGGCTGGTGTGATATCCCAAGAAGCATTAGTGGGAGCTTCCGACTGAGAAGTACCTTCATTGTCTGAATATATTGGAGAGACTGGTGCCAAGTCTGGTACCACTTCTCGATTCTCACTAGTTGTGTTAAGACGACTGTCACGATCTCGAGACGTACTTGAAGATGAGTGCACCAAGAAGAACGCTTCTACTGCAGGCTACAACGTTAAATATACATATAATCTATGTTTATACCGCAAATAATGTAATGATCAATACAATGACGGTATAATAATTCGGTTCAATAGTAAGCTCCTAAAATGTGATAAATTTAAACTTTTTACCTGTAAAACAAGGACGGCATGGTGATCAGGAGTGTATTCTAATTCAAGTAAGCAAGCGCTAAGAGTTTCCCATAAGTTATCTAATACTAAACTCTCACTCAGCAATGGAAGTGCAGTTTTCTCTTCGTCTAAAGAAAGGGGGAGGGGGAAACAGCCATAAGTATACGCGGTTTTTAATTTATCGATTAATCAATCATATATTATAGACGGCAAATGCAGTTTTTATTGAGCAAAGTTAAATTTTTTTGCATATAATGAGATATTGATCAATCTATGAATTAAAATATTTGTCTTATTATAGTAAAAATAAACATCTCGACTTACCATGACGAGAAGAGGATGTCTTTGAATTCTCAAGACTTAAAGTATTTGCTTGTGTTGTATCCATAGGAACATCGATGTCTGCATTGTCGGCAGCTGCAACAAAATATATTAATTTTTAGTATAAATATTAATTTAGGAAAAATTATAGAAATAAAAAAAAATAGAAAGATATAAAAATACCTGTCTCTGATGCATTGCTTGTTGTGCCTGTATCCATCACTGTCTCTGTTGTTTGATTAGCTTGAAATAGAAGTTTTAATTTGTAAATATTGTAAATTTAACGTAGTATTATAATAAAATATTAAAAATTTATCGCAAGATAATATTATAATGACGGCATATATATTATGCATGCACGCACGCACGCACGCACGCACGTACACACATACATATATATCATACTTGTTTTCTTGGTGTTTGCTAAGCGCACAGCTTCCCTTATTTGCACAATAACTTTAAGTATTCTCAAAAAAAATGCCTGACTAGAGGTTTTACTGACGAGAGCAGCCATCGATGGTAATTGAAGGTCACTTCCAGCTTTAACTTTACTCGGTGCTGTGACTACTACATTTTCATTAGTAAATCTGAAAAGACTATTTTTTATAGACTACTATCTTCTTGAGAATGCAAAGCGTATAAAATTGACCGTTTTAACATTTAATTGCGTGCTACAAGAATATTTTACCTATCTAATAGAATTCCTCGTCCATTCCCGCTACTAGTCGATGGTTGATCCTCCAAAGAATTTCTTCGACTTAATTCACGATTTAGAACTTTTAATTCCATCATCAAATCGTTGATATGTTCACACACCATATTTGCCAATTCCATCGCACCTTCCAAAAGTAATTTTAATATCTAGGAAAAAATATAGATAGAAGAAAAGATGTTAACATCGTATGGTTATATTAATGTTAATATCAACATTAATGTTAATATTAACATCATTTGTATTAATTTATATAAGAATACAATACATACTAATTGTCTAGTAGGATCAGGACAATGAGATAGGTTAAGTAATAGTGCAGTTGCATCTTCAAGTCCATCCTCGGAACAACTTTTACTAGTCAAAACCTGTACGGCCAGCTTGAGGTGTCCTTCTGGCGCAGCGACGCTCTGATCCTTATTAATTTCAGTTTTCTTGTTCTTTGCACCGCCTTCCTGCCGTCGATAGGGATTTACTTCTGTCAAGCCGATAGAGATCAAGGACAGAAGTCGCAACAACTTATCTGTCAATTGACTGCTTCGCTTAATCACAGACCAATTGAGCATCGAGATAAGCTGGCCGAATGCGGAAGCTTCAAATGAAGTTGTACCATGTTCTGGCTCACTCCCCAAATTCGTATTCGAATGAGTTCTCGCAACTGATTTTCCTTTTTTGGATGCACACGAATCCAATTTTAGAAGCAAATCCCAGAAATCTGGAAGATCGCTTCTTCCTATTTTAGATGCAGACTTGTTTTTCGCTCCGCCTTCCTCTTTACTGCCACTCACGTCTTTTTCCTTACCACTATCTTTATCGTCTAAATCCTTAGATTTTATTGGCACAAAATATCCAGGGAAACTCTTAGCGAGTGAAATCAACAGTTCTAAAGTATGCCTGTAATTCAATATGAAACAGAATATAAGACGTTTTATTATTATATAGAAATAATAAGAAAAGAATAATAAGAGAAAATTATTTTTAATAAATTTTTATTTCAATCTAAATATTTTTAAGATAGTACACTGACCTGCATACAGTAGGTGCAGCTTGCGGGTGAATTGCGATAATATTACCCTGCCTTTCAGATTTCTTACCAGCATGACGTACTATATGAAATACATTTGCTCTACAACCGAGTGCAGCGTCGATACTGATATTTAGCCATGATTGTGTGTTATTTCTTTGGTCAAAAATCTTTGGAGAACTAAAATAAATGATCAAAAATTACGATGAACATGTTTAGAATCAATTCCTAAGCGGGGAAAAGTCTTACCATAAATCCATGGGAGTATTTAATAATCCTTTCCTCTTAAATTTTCCACTGAAATCTGCCATTATATCCTTATTCTCATCGTTACTTCTTTCCATGATGCTTAGTAATGCTTTCACTATCCACTCCCTTGTGCTACCGTGATAGCAAAGATTTCTGATCACTCTATGAAGCCTAAGCGTGTTAATTTTTGGCTCATCAACAAATAATAACACAAGCAGGCAAGCCATCGATTCATGATCGAGTAATTGCCGGCCTCTTAATCGTAAGCCAGCGCCTTGGTGAGCCATATTTGTATCGCCGCGAGCGTTCCAGGTATTCCATTGAGATCGTTGTGGAACGGCGTGAATCGCATATCGAGTACCACCTCCACGAGCTACAAATATATTTGCGATTTTTGTATAAAAACAAAATTACTGTTAAATATTACTATAAAATACTATAAAATATGAAAAATTACTATAAAATAATTATGAAAATTATGTGTACACATTTTATACATAAAACTTTTTATACACGTTAATGCTTATCCACTAAACTTTATGCATAATCTAATTGATTAAAACCGAAACTTACCTCTACCAGAATTTCTTAATATGCTCGAGAGAGCAGTATTGCTTTGACTAACATGATTGAGGAATCTTTCTTGCATCATGTGTCGATTACGAGCTTCCCACTCTCTCCTCAAGTTTTGAGCTTCTTGAGCTAAATCTGGTGGGAGGACGGATATTTGAGACTCTTCCATATCAGTTAGGATCTACAGACAAATTTCAACTTCAGAAGTAGAAATGAAACATCACTATCGAGGTAAACGATAAATTAGTCCGAGAATATATACTAACAGCTTGTCGAAGGGAAGGTTGCAGATTTTGGAAGAAAGCGGCAGCATCCACGGGATCCTCCGGATTCGCCGATGCGGCCGCATGTCGTTGCTGTTCCATGCGTTGTTGTGCCAAGACCTCTTCTTGAATCGCCGGTGGTAAAGCAGCTAGGAATTCAGGATTTACTTCAACCGGTCCGCTAAGCTCCTCAACTACAGAAGCCTGCGCGCGTTGCCTCATACGTTGCAGCCTGCCGACATATTATTTAATTAGTATTTACATATCATTACCTCTATATATAAACATACGAGTAAGACATCAACTGACCTGAGCTGCTCGGCAATGACTTCGTCGCGCATGTCTTCAGGCAGAGCAGCTAAGAACGACGGATCCACACCGTCCGGTAGTTGTTGCTCCTGATTACTGCATTGCTGTTGTGGCTGCTGTTGCAACGGTTGCTGTGACGATTGTTCTGAGGTCCCTGCCGCAGTAGTGGTCTCGGCCGTAATTGACGACGTTGAATCTTGATTGACAACGTTGGCGCTACAATGATATTTTATGTTAAAACTGCTGTGATTTGTATTTACATGTGCACAGTACTTACTTTCGTTCACGCCGTAAATCAATATCGCTCGTTCGACACTGACTGTCGTCCGTCAAGAGTCTGCGAATCCAATCGGCCGAATCACTACTCTCCCTTGACAGATCCTCGCTAGTTTCTTGACCAAAATCTACTACTAATGGTGCAGCCGAAGTGCGATTAGACGATGATTCGGGAACATTCGCTGTTTCTATGTTACTTCGCCCAGGCTGTCCTGTTGAAGCAAGATGCGTAGGCGCGTCATTAGACACATGTAGGTCTAATGACGGAAAAAGATTAGTACATAGAGTCTTAACGATAACTTAGCAATAAAGATAGTTAACCAGTCTGAGTACAAAAGATCCCAATTTCTAAAGTAGTCACTTGCATTCGATTCACGACATAAATAACACAAAAATAAGAGATATGTATAATAGTTTTAAACGGACGATTTTAATTATTTTTAATAAAATAGTAATAGGCATATTACTTAATCTAATGGTCGCTTCAGATGTGCACGGTCCAAGCACAGAATCGACGATACTTTCAGCCAACTCTAACGTGGGATTCCGATTTGCCGTGCGAGGATCACGACTATCGGAGACCGACTGTTCTTCTGGCGGTGGTGGAGGTAGTCGTTCCTCGTCATCTTGAACCGTTACTTCCATTTCACCTGTTACATCTAGTATGTAAAAAATACATAGAAACACGCGTCTAGAACATTCATTAAAAATAAATAAAAAAATATTGTCTTGCGTATATAGCTATACCGATTATGTCCTCTTCCGGAGTGCGCTCCTGTCTTGTTGTTTCTACCGCAGTTTCTTCTCCAGCAACAAGCGAGGTGATGTCGGTTCGTAGTGAGGTTGATGCTGATGGTCGCTGTTCATCCAATGTTAAATTGGGTAATGTAGCTAAAATATCAGATACAGTTTAAGGAATTGTATTATCGTATTTTTAAATCGTTTTCATAATTATGTATATATTAGGTGTTAAATTTAATTTCTGCCGTTTTTCGTCTCCAAAATTGATTTATTTCGAAGGGAAATACCTTAATCAAAGTATTATTAATAAAGAAATTAAGTTTAACACCTAATACACGAGGGTAGTTTGAAAAGTTCTTGGCCTGATGGGATCTAGGAATGACGCCACAAGTATCAAACTGCTATAATTTTAGACAAGTTTGATCCTGCACAGGAAGACCGTTAAAATTTCAGACAGATGCGATCATTGGTTTCTTTGTCTCGGTCATGTAAAGCAACCGATTTTCGATTCCATCATGACAATGTACATTTTTTCAATTTTTTTCAGTTGCAAAATTCCATGAATAGGTTTAGCAAGTACTATGATTCACCAAACCAAAATAAAGAAACTAATGAACGCATCTATCTGAAATTTTAACAGTAGCTCTGTGTAAGATCAAACTTGTCTAAAATTATAGCAGTTTCATACTTGTGGCATTTTCTGTGTCACGCCAAGAATTTATCGAATTACCGTCGTATACGTACATGTGTATATAAGAAGTATTTGTGTAGAAAAATATATGGGAGCATATTTACCATCGGCAGTATTTGAATTTTCTTTTTCTTCTTTATTATCCTTTTCATTCTCTTTTTCTGATCCATGTTGTTTTTTACGTTTCTCTTTGCGTTCGGCAAGCTCGGCGTTCCTGTGCTTTTCTAGTCCAGGTATCAGTTTATGAACAACACCTATCCGACATGAAAAATTAATAAAACTACTATGTACATAAAAATACCAAATTAACAATAACAAATGCCTTCGTTCTCACCAACGCAACAATCCGGTTGAGAATCTCCGTCTAATTGCTTGCTCTCTTCGATCCACCAATGCAACGCGGTTGGTATATTATTCAAAGTTGCTGCAAGACTTGGACCAAAAAGATATCCAGATTGATCCTAACGATAAAATTGAGAGTTACAACTTACATTTTTTAATATTTGTTTATATTTTCGTACAATTATGTACGTACAACATAATCGATTTGCTCTTCCTCTTGATTAGTAAATATTCCCAATCCATTATCCATTACGACAACACGTGTATCTCTAAAACTTGACGCTAAAACTTGACTGGCGGATAAAGGGAGAGTCTGTGCAGCCGGACCTAAGAGTCTATATATCATGTACATATTAGAGAAGACTATAATTAACCCTCAGTACACACACAAGGGATTAGCATAATCCCACCCGATTTTCATAGTTCAGACATTCGAACACGTTTTGAGCAGTGGCGCTGAAACTGGAGGGAAAAAAACTTAAGTTTCACCTCTACAATTCCCTTGCTCAACGACCTTCTAATGCGCCATTAGCTACGTAATTGTACAGTATAAAGTGCATGCTGGGGTTACCCTAACCCCTTGTGGGTACGTCAGAAAATTCGGACTTACTGCAAAGTTGAAATGTAAGTAGAAATGATTAATTGGATTATTTATGATTTCAATCATGAGTGCATAACTCATAAAAAATGAGTTAAATCAATTTTATTGTTTCTTAATATCAGAAAAACTTCTTCTTTCTCGTTAATGACTCCCGCGTCAAATGCGGCAAATACTAAATGTAATAGTAAATTGTTAATATTTACTATAGAAGAACGATAGGATCACTTTTTTTTATTTATTTCTATCAAAATTAAAAGAATTTTTTTGCGGTTTATGATCAGTTTCCATAAAACTGAAAAATCACTTATTTTCACTTTGCAAAAAAAATATCGTTTTTAGAACAAATCGCAAAAACGCTTATAGTTTCTTAAAGTTCAACTCATTAGCTGTTGATTCATTACTAATAAAATCTTTTTTCATTTATTTTTAATAAAAAGACGAGGTTTTGAAAAAAATTCGTTTTTTTTACGTTTTTTTCCGATCTCTTTTTACTTATTGCAAGATATTCTTTGTGCTACATTTTAGACTTAGTCTAACTCAAAAATTCTTTTTTTTTCAATCTTCAAACGATAGATTAAAAAAAAAATTAGTTAAAATCGATGCACCACAATCTGAGATACAAGCAAAAGAAAACGCTGGGTCACAAATATCCGGATGTGGGTAGATAGAGACTGCCAGAGTTGTGTGTACTGAGGGTTAACATTTGTCTTTTTAAATAAACTTTTGTAATCTTTTAAGATTAAGAAACTTCTTTTAAATATCAGCATACGATTTTTAACACCTATTCCCTTATTGCTCTGATTTTTATTTCAAGTATATTAAATAATCAGACTATTATTTACTTTTATTCACAAAACACAATGTTTTACTAATATATAAATACATACCTTTGTAATATTACAGGTGGGTTTGAACTACGTGGATTGGATAACTGAAGGTACTGATACTGTCTAGCACGTCGTAAAACACGCGTTCTAGTACTTGCAGTGTCCAAACTTCCTTGCGATATCAGTAATGGATGAGTACTGATACCTGCATCAAAATTATTGGAATTATACATCTTAGAATCATGCAGGAAATTAAATGAAAGATAAAAGAAAAAAAAGGAGAGAAAAAACACAGTCGATCATTCATATCGAAACCCCCTATTCTCAACCAACTGAGTCTTCGTAAACTGAGATTACGGATATTTCCATCCTATGTGTATATGAAAACTGATGAAAACCTATTTTAGCAATATATTTTATTATATGAAAATTGAAGAAACTGAAGACCTGTTCTTTTTTCGAAGAATTCTAAACTAGTTCTGAACTAGTGCAACAAGTTAAGAGTGAGACAAACTAAACCTGTCTCACTTTAATTTATTGCACCAGTATACACCAGGAACTTCGGGTAGAAACAAAAAACAGATCTTGAAGTCAAAAATAGAGAGGTTCGGTTCCAATTAGTTAAGAACAAGAGAATTTCCGACTGTAATTATCTATTTTCGCTCCTATTTACCATTGTTCTCAGAACCTGCAGGCGGCTCTTCAAACAGACCTAATGGTAACGGGAATGTGGTATTCCATGGAAGACTAGGTCGCGTATTAACTGGCGTCGACGTATTCGCAATGTCCTGATTTTCAATGTTGTGTTGTATCATTACGACATTACCACCATCGCGCTCAGAAGAGGGAAACATACGAAAAACACCGCCTTCTCCAACGTCTTCATAAAATTCTATTCCATCTTCTTCATAATTGGACGATCCTTCCTCCTCCTCTTCCTCTTCTTCTTCGTTTTCTTCACCTATAATAACATAAATAAGGATAAGAAATATATGATCTTTCTATCTCGGCTGTGGCTTTATACTATGTATTAAGAATATCTACCATCATCTTCCTCTTCCTCCTCTTCGTCCTCATCGTCCTGCACCTCGTCCTCATTATCATCAGACGGATTGCTATCGGAGTCAGAGTCCGAGCTCATTAAGTCCTCCTATAATGAATAAAATTCATTGAAAATTCAGAAAATAAAACGGAAAGTACTAATTATATGAGAAAAATGAAAAAAGTGACGTTACTCTTACTGTGGTATCTCGAGTTGGATCGAAATCGCCCTCTGCGTCACGCATTGCGAGACTTTCATCATCGATGTCCATTGGCCTGTGCGGGCGAGAAGATGGTTCTTCCGCCACGGCCGAACCGTCCCTGGAAAACAGTACACTACTTGATTATAAGTACTGTAGCTTTCATAAACTTGAAGGGCTATGAAAACAAATAAAAAAAGATTCGCGAACGTGTGCAATACATAAACAGAAAACAAAAATACACAACCAGAAAAAAATACATATCATGTTTAAATTAAAAAATATATATGTATGTATACGCACATATGTTTGAGTTTGATATAAATGGTATAATTGAATTTTACAGGTGTATATTACAAAATAAAATCGCATAAAATACAATCCGTGTAAAGAGAGTACTTTGCTAACATCTCTTAAAATGAGAAACATTACCACTATGCGATATCTATACCACATATATATGAGCATATTTTAAATTTCATTCATCACGGTAATATTGAATATTTTTTTATCTGCCATATTGATATCATTACTGCATAAATACATCTTAATCAAACATAAAACAAATTAAATTTACCTCACAAAAGAAATTAAATTTACTTGTACACTTTATTTGAATTGCATAGCGTTCATCGAAATTTGATTATTGTTAATTTGCATCTCGTTACCTTTCGAGAAGCTGATCCATGATATCCTCCAGTGCAGCCTCATCTCCTTCCTCATGTACCTGACTCTCCGACGTCGGTTCTAAGCTTTCAGCTGTTACAGAAATATCGTGCTCAGTGTTCTCTGCGTCCTCATTTGCTTCCTCTCCCACGGCATGCGTAGCTTCGGAGGTCGTAGTGCCTGTCTGTTCTCCAATCGGTTCTTCCTGGACTGTCCTATTTTTCGGCTTCGTAAATTTGTTATTGACCGCACCCGGTATTGGTTGATTGATAATGCGCGATAAGGTCTCTAACGGTTTCAACGCGGCGTTAATCGTACCAGCCATATTCGGACTCGACAAATCGAGACTGTGCGGTATTTTGGCCAAGTCGGTGATTATACCCTTTCTCAGCATTATTCTGACGATGTAATTAACGTTATTGTATTGATGGGCTCTCAAAGAAGCCCTCAGCTGAGTATGTGACATATTTGGTGGACAACTATCAATCATGGTAGAAATTAGTCCGATTAGTAACTGAAGCTGCGCGTGCTTCTCAGAACTTTCCGGAAGCACGAGCGTTCTCGTCAAAGCTGCCTTCACTTCGGTCACCAAGGTCGTCTGTACATCCGGCGAATGATTGCACGAAGCTATCGCAGCAATCAACATTCTCGCCATGCTGCTGCACGTTCGATCGCCCGAATTTTCCGGCGACATCGGCAAAAGTTTATCTAGCAAGAACGCTAAAGCCGTCGTATCTTCAGATACCATCTCGCTTTGTCCAGCTCTGTATGTATGTTCGGTGATAAGACTAGCTACAGCGCCGTAAGATCTCACAGCTTCTGCCAATATCTTTAATATCGCAGATTTGGTTAAAATAGGCTTCTTTGCCTCCTCCGGTTCTACCTTACTGTTGTTACTGAGGTCGGTGTAGATCTTTAGAGGAATAATTTGCGACACTTGATCGTCGTCGTCCAAGGGATCATTAGTGGTTGTTGCATTATTCCTCAGTACATCTCGCCGTGATGACGATGCTGACGATGATGTGTTACCCATCGATGAGGTTGTCGTATGTGATGTCTTTTTTTCAGGGCTTGTTGGAGTTGCTGATCCGTCATCCGATAACACTGGCATTGGCTTAATCAACGCGTTCAACATATCACGAATAACACCTACAGATACCTCTTCTACCATCGGTAATGCTGGAGAGTGACTAGGAGGCAAGGCTTTCACGACTAGCCTATTATCAACATCATCTTCTGCAAAATAAAAGATATAATTTTAAAACGAAATAAGAAATTAATACAATCTAATAATTAAATTATTATTTCATATTACTTAACCTCTTTAGACCTGATTTTATTGGGGAACTACGTTAAAAAAATTCTTTTGATTCAGTTAATACTTAAATAAATAATTCATACTAAATAATTAATTTTTTTTTCAAAATTTTGACTATTTTTTCAACATTATTACGTATATCAGATAGATAATGATGTCAACAAAATTAAATAATTTCAACGGATAATATCTTCAAATTTGATGTACATTACAATGTGCGTTGAGTCTGAAGGGGTTAAGTAAATCCTAACTGAAGTGTCATTAACTGAAACTCACTTTTTAAGCAACTTATGTCAACTCTAAGAATATTTTCGCACACTTCTTTGTATACTTCTGGATTACGGCAAACAGCGCTGCTGATCTGCCGCGTCATAAAAAGTATCTCTTTATATGCAGGAGGTATATTACTCTGCGTGCGTGCACGAATGACCTAGAACAAAATTGGACGAATAATTCATTATTACAAAGATGGATTGCACGAAATTGTATTGAAAATATAAACACTAGTACCTTCTCCATCGCAAGGCGAAGCGTGCGCGGCTCTTCAAGAGTATGTCGTATCAGTAATGTACATAAATTGATGCAGCCGGTAAAACTACACATCTGCGTCATTTCGAGGAGCAACTTAACACCACCTTCCCGCGCGAACACCTCCGCATTTCGATAATCCCTCGTCAGCCGTAGGCACACTTTCAACACAGCGTGTAACGCGTCTCGATCGACTGGGATTGCCAAAAATTTTACACACGCGCTGCAATATAAATAATATTTATGAGATGTTTATTACTCTTTATTAACTCAATTTTATACGTAAAATGTATTTCGTATAATACACAGAACTACAAATTTTTTGAAAAACAAATCAGAATAAGTGTTTCTTATAGATTTTGGATCGTTTAGTCCGAATTCGTAAGCCGTTTTGCTCCATCATGTCCAGTTTTTTAGAGAAATTTATCGAGAAAAATGATGGAAAATCTGTAAAAATTGAAACGTTTGAGGAAAGAGCAAAAGTAAATATGACATTAAAATGCGATTACAGAACTAATTTAAATATATTTTAATTACACAAAGTGTAAGAAATAAAAAAATTTTACTTTACTAATGTTAGGTACTATGTAGTTTAACACATCGTAAAACAAATCGGTGGCTACCATTGTGCAACAAACAATGATCTGTATAAGTCATGGAAGATTTTTTCAGTTCCAGAAATGGATGTTTTAATTGTTATCTTCCAAAAATAACATTAAAATATTCGTTTCTAAAGCTAAAAAAAACTTTCTACGACTCACGCGAATCGTTGCACAATAGTACTTCAATCAACTAATTTATACCGTGTCATCTCAAACATTAGTAAAGCAATTTTTTTTGTTTTGTACATCTTGTTCAACTTACCAAGAAAATTGATATTCAAATCAATTTTGCGATTTTAATGTCATATTTACTTTTGCTCTTTTCTCAAACGTTTCAATTTTCACAAATTTTCCATCATTTTTCTCAATTATCTAAAAAATTGGAAGTGATGAAGTAAAATGGCTTACGAATACGGATTCAGCGATCCAAAATTTATAAGAAACAGCTATTCTGATGTATTTTACTTCAAAAATTTTTTGTAATCCGGTGTAATGCGCGATCACACAAAACATTACGAAAAATGATACTAAAACATAGAAAAGCATTAATATGTTAATTAATTATACAGCATCATAATATATCGTGTGATAAGATTATCTTCTTTTTTTCAAGGTCTAAATTATTACATTGCATATTTGTACCCATTAATGTATTTCTCACCGTACAATACTCGGTGCTATACTAGGATCCAATCCTTGGACCACTGTATTTCGTCTCTCCTCTCCTACCGGACTCTCGTCGGTATCCATATTTGAATCGGAACCCGAACCACCATCCTCCTTATCCGTGCCGAGCTTAAAGCCCATCGTGATGGGCCGCCTATTATCACTATCTTCGTTCACTTGCGTCATGCAGGAAAAGGTGATGAGATATCGGCGTCGACTGCACGATATTCGCACACTGGACTCGCCTGCCCAATATGCGTCATTGATGATTCGATTATTCATAGGCGAATAGGGGGTCCATTTGCCAGTACTTAAGTCAAACCACTTCCACGATTTGGTCGTGATCTTGTGCATCATCTGCTTTCGTTGTGTGAGAGTAGCCACCTTTTCCAGCCGGTCGATAAGCAGTAATAAAGGCGCTAACCACTTTGGTGTCTTCATGCTCAACACAGCGCTGGTATCCTTGCAGTCTTTAGCGATTTTATTCTTGTTCGCGGTGAGCGGAGCCTCGCTCACCACCAACAACCGTACAAGTTTGTCAAGTATCGCGCATTCTTCCACTATAAGAGCACATGGCACTCGCATCTCCTGAAACGAACCTTCAAAGAATAGAGTATAGAGGTAAAGACGGCCAGAAAGTTTATTCGCCTCTTCGCACTCCACCAATCGGGCTCCGGCATTTTCATCCTGACTTTCGGCGATGTCAATCAGATAATCTACTAGACGTCCGACCTCGCGTATCAACTGCCGTAACGTATCGTCCCGCCACTCGTCGCCGTTTCTCTTAGTGATGGTCACTAACAGATCGCAAATTCTATACACCGTGTCCGGCATGAGGTCTAATAGATTAAGACATTGCCCAAGTGCACTACGCGTAAATTCGTCTATATTTTCGGTGATGGTCGTTTCGCGAGAAGGAATTTCTTCAATGCCCGAAATTTTACGCGTATCTGTATCGCCGAGCGACATTGCAATAGCATGCATTATCTGATCGTCATCTGCCAATTCCAAATCCATGATCAAACCTTGACCACTGGCATCGCTTACTGGAACATCGGGTCTACGTAGCGTTGCAGGATTTGTTAGGAGGTAATCGGTTGCCTGTTCTACCGTCATCGTATGCAATAACGCTTCTATACAATGTGCTCGACTGAAGCCCATATCCATCAGTTGTCTCAAATATTCCGGATTGACGTCCGCCTCTGGTTCATCACGACGATCAGATCCACCACTTCTGCCAACGCCGCTCGCACCGCTACCACTAGCTATCGCATTGTCTCCGCTTTCTTCCTTTTCCGTGCGTTCCTTGATGATTTTCTCGCCACGTAGAATATGTCGTAAAATCGATAAAATAGACTCTGTCATGCGAGCTCCGTAGTTTTTGAGTGGTTTTTTACCCCACATCAGCATTACCGCCTCGAAAGCTTTTTTATGGATATCGATGAGGTATCTTATTGGATCGAACGTCTCGCATACTTTATATATTCCAGTACACTTTGATGAGACCACGTGGGGTGAGTCTAAGATAGCCTTAGGATTAACCATTTTCTCCAACAGCATCAGCCAGGCATCCAAGAACTCGCCAGTTCCATCGGGTAGATTTGGATGTTCCAGTCCTTCAGATAACGCAAAATGGCCTCCACCTGATAAAGCCCAATGAAAGGTAGAGAAAAATGCATTTTGACCGTTCAATTTGACAAATTTCTGAAGCATCAGGTGATAAGGATGCCTCTTCTCGTCAAAGAGCATCGGTGATGTAAATCCCACTGAACATATGAGAAAAGTGAGTTTAAATTTGGGAATCGGTGATGGGGGTAATTTATCCCACGATAACCCGCGCGTCAATAAGCAGTTCAATGCAGTGGCAACACTTCGCGCTGCCTGAGAGGGCAACGTGGGTGTTAGAGGCATTTGCTGTCCTCTACGTTGTCTTATGGGAGAACCCATGCAAAGTTTGACAAGTAGACCAAATAACTCTGAAAGCGCTCTGCCGAGTCTTGAAGAAGCACCAAGTAAAGGTTTGATATATTTTAACTGATAGTTGTTGGGCCTATCGGTGTTTACATTTGGTTTGTCGTCTACCTCCATCGGCACCGGTGGCGGATCTGTGCTAAGAGCTTCCATGGCCGTAGTCATTCCATTACTTCCCATATCCGAGGATACACTAGCGGACCAAGAGGTCGAAGGTTCGCCCTCGGTTTTTAACTCGGGTGGCATCAATTTATCCATGTCTTCTTTGCCAAATTCGCATCCGGCCGGAATAATATCCTCGCTACATAACGCGAGTAGTAATGTACTCTCCCAAACGAGAGACATATAAAGCTCCGACAAACCTTTGAGAACAGTCAAACCCAATTCGGAACCCCAGTGATTCATAGAAAGATTTCGGATATCACTTTGGCTAGTACGGCAAACATGAACAAACATCACTACGTATCCATGGGCTGCATTCATAGCGTGTAACAAAGGCGTAGCAGTGTCGCTTGTAAATGCGGTTTCCAGATTTGGAGCTGACGCAAGTTCGTGTAACAAAACAGAGGCGCCAGGGGATTCTAAATTATTGTGAAGTGGTTTCAACAAATTTAGCACTTCATTTAATTGTGACAAACCTGTTTTTAGTACCAATGGTTCATGTGCGAGATTCTGTAAATATCAAATTACATTTGTAATATAGTTACATTTAAAAAACATGCATCTACTAACTTTAAAAAAAATAATTATACGAAAAGATTAAAATACGTACCAAGATACTTTTGCATACAGAGGCTACAGATTGAGCCGCTTGTGCGACAGGATAATCAACAGGTAAATTAGGTAGACCCAAAATCGATAATAGTGGAACGAGTCCCTTTTGAGCAACAAATTCTCTGCAGTGATCATCGGTTGAATTGTTGCTGAGTATAGCATCCACAAATTTCATAACATTGTGAATATATTCCACTAAAGCAATGGGAGTCTTCTCTCTTGGTTGAGGTGGCGGTCCAGGCTGTTGAGGTGACAGGCTAGGTTGCTCTTCTCGTTGAGGATGCGAACTTGTACTAGCTTCCTCTTCGTCTTCTTCTTCTTCGTCACTACTGCTGCCGCCGCCTCCTCCACCACCGCCACCAGAGTCTCCTACTCCGACGCCGACTGATTGACCAGATGTTTGACGATTTCCAGAGGCCGTGTTTGATGGTGAATTTTCAGATTTACTAGCGGCACGCCAGCATATGTACCGTGGATCACAGCCCAATACACACAATTCTTCGAGTAGCTAATAAGTAAACAAAGACAAATAAAAATAATTTGAGAAATACAATGTACAATAACAAAATTATTAGAAAATGCAGTTTATTTTTAATTAATACCTTAATGATTGCCCCAATAGCATCAACTTTTAAGCTTGGTTGGTGCCTCATCAGCTCATCCATGGCATTGCCTAAATTTGAAGCTGTATCACCTAATGGATCGGCGCTTCGTCGCCGTCGCATTGCCGAAAGATAAACAGGCGAGAGTAGTACTTTAAATAAGCGTTCGAATGGTCGCCGTTTCACAAAGGATTCAAGACCGCGTTGATTTAAACACAGAGCACTGAACACATTAGGTAAAGAGCCCAATACTTCTCTAGTGGCAGGAACCTGTTACATGACATAGCAATTATTAAAAACGCTTTTGGTATCATATCATGAAAGATACTCTATTATTGTGAAAAACATAAAATTAAATATAAATTATTTACACTCACTTCTTTTATGAGTAAAGCATGAAGTACAACATCAGTCAAGCCGTTGTCTTGTAGAGACGATAATAATGACGGTTCTTGGAAAACATACACAGTCACGACGTCGGTAGCAAGTAAGAATAACGAAGGACCGTAATATTCTGAATTACTTATAATATGCTTCAGAGACGATGGTAATGTACCCTCCATAACATGTCGTATACTGTCAGAAAATGCCGGATCTTGAATTGCTTTCTTGAGAAAATTCAACATTGATTTCAGGAGTGCTGCTCGTTGTGGTAAACACGTTTTGCCGGTCTTGGCAGCAGAATAGTCTGGCTGCTGCTCGTTCTTCTCATCTGCTTTGGCAACTATATTTTCATCTTCTGATATTTCCATAGGATTAGACGATTCCTCTCGTTCATCAAAAGTCTCGTGTTCCCGGCGTGATGTGGAAGAGCCTTCCTCCCTTTCTATCGATCTTTCACGTGAGGTTTGTGGTGCATCCTGATAGAGCAGTGGTTCTATTTCAAACGGCTGTTCTTTCCGACATACATTAACTTCCATATCTAAACGGTTGATGAAACTAGCTAAACCACTGTGAGTTTGAAAACCTTGCATATCAATGTTTGTTATTAAATCTATGACACGCACTGCTCTTGTTACAAACTGCAAAAAAAAAGAGAGATAAATAAATAAGATTGAATATATTTTACAAATAGAATGTAAAAGGCAAATTTAGTAAATCGTAATTTCGGTTATTATTAATATCGAATTTTAAGAAAATGTTTGTATTATATATTCTGTTAAACAGTACCGTTATATGTTCCAGTTCACTTCCTGGCCAATTGATGACTTTCAAAAGACTCTCCATCATGCCACAACTTACAAGAGCCTCTCCACCCGCCTCATAACTTGCAAGATGATACAAAAAACTAAACAAGGCTGTCGCAAGCGGGAGAGGAAATGGTTGACCATCTGGTTGTGGTGAGGTTAATGTTGTTATACAAGTACGAACCAAAACAGGTAGAAAGCCGTGATACGAGCTAGCTCCAGTGACGTCAATAATCATGTTCAATCGTGAACCTGGTTTTCTGGAATCACATAAAAATAAACATTAAAATACCATATCAGATAGCAAATTCTTATGAAATAGAAAAATATATGTATACTTACTTGGGGAAGTGTGGATTCCGATCTAAATGTATGATGCTCGTAAGAGTACGCAACGCTGCCGCGCGTATCTCAACAAGGTGAGTATATGGTAATTCCAACAATTCCACAAGCTCTTCAAGAAGTCCAGCATGAAGAAGACTGTGCGCATTTTCCTGCAACGCGTTGCTGTATACAAGTACGGATAAAGCTTGAAGCCGAGCTTGCACGCACTGCAATCGTCTTCGATAATCCGAAAAACCATGCGCTAGTCTTATATGTGTCAATAGAGCCATCTAAGAATAACATATTTCAAGTGCGTTAAAAAATATCTCTCTTTGGCTTTCAGCGCTATCAGCACATTCTATCCTTGTTTTATTTTTCGTATCTAATTTTTATGTATATAAAGTTTTACGTACATATAATAAACGATAAAAATTAAATGATGCATTAACCTACAAATCTCTCATATCATTTACATGGAAAAAAAAAATAAAATTTTAAACCTTACCTGTCGTTCTTGAGGTACGTTATAAACTTTTAACAGATCATTCATAATCTGTGCTGGGGTTTTTCCGAGTTTATCAACATTTTCTATATGTATATATGTTACAAGATTCATTTGACCAACTTTTTTTGTACTAGAGAGTGATGTACCAGTTGCCGATGGCTCCGTTACAGTCGGATTTTCCGCATAAAATTCAAAGTGTAACGTTGTAGCACTTGCTGGAAATGGCTATAAAATAAAAAATATATACACATACTATACATATAATATTATTAATAAAACTATCATATTACACATAATAATTAAATATGCACATGCTTACTTTTTCTGGAAATTCCTTGCAGCAGTCTGCTAAACCAAAACCGTTTTCCTTTCCTCCCCAACTCTGTAATAAGTTATTATTTAATAAATAGAGTTAAATTATATCGCTAAATATAAATTAAGGTTACTGACCTCAGCTAGATGTATAAGCCTGCTGAGCAAAGCTTGCCGTTTGTCACTATTTAAACGTGTAATAAAATTACTGCGTTTACTAAACATGTACAGAAGATTTAATACACCAAGGACTACATTCATGTTACAACTTGATAGTAAAGTAACCAAGTGCTCCATGCTGTTGTACAAATGCCGTGAAAATGAATGCTCAATTAACAATGTTGTGAAGTGGAGAACCCAAAGAAGCAGCTCTTTTGCCTATGTTCAAGTTAATAACCATATATGAATTATTTTATTAATTAGACTTTTAACGTAAAATTATACATCTAGAGTAATACATATTTTAATCAGTTGATGCTAATAGAGATAAATTATTAAACAAACCTCTCGATTCTGAGGAAGATCGCATGCTAATTCCCATGGATTATCTGGACTTCTTGCTGCAGCTTCTTCTAAAATACTGTCACTGAGATCTAAGACATCAATCCAATGAAATAATTCGCACTTTCCGAATGTCCACGCATCTATCTGCTTTAGTTCTTCTAGCAGCTCTGCATGCGAGCAAGAGCGTAATTTGCTTATGAGTGCCTGACATTCTGCTGGCTAAACGTTACGCATAATTATAATTTGAATAAATTAAATATAAATAAAGTATGCGTGGGTATTAGAAACTTTTATTCCAAGAAATAATGTACAATTAATCGAAATTAGTTTATATACAAACTATATCAAAATTTCTCTTACATTGAATGTGATTGAAATAATTATACACACACGCGCGCACACGCACTTATATATATACATATATATATATACACATACATAAAAGAAATTATGTAATCTTTCCTTAAATTTCATTTAATGTATATTTTAATGAAAATAAATCGACATTTATCACATAGATTTAACTAAAAATGTTTAAAAGCATTTAAATGAAAATTGTGCAAAATACTTACCACTTCGGAAGTGCATTTTTTCAATCTACTGCGATCGATTTTCATTTTGATGTATTAATGTGAGTCCTTGTAAATTTAATATCTAAAATAAAAGATATTGCGTTATGAACTTTATAGTGACGTTTACTCTATAAAAATTAGTAATTTAGTACTAAATATATAGTTATAAAATATATCGTTCTTGATGTAATAAAATGTAACACTATATCTATCATTGCATTAATACGATTAATAATATAAGAATGTTATAAAACTAGTTAATTTGTCTATTTATTAAAAAAATACAATGAAAGTCATATCATCATAATAAGATTGCTACATTCCACAGATATCATATCACAATGGCTTAATATCATAAGATATAAAAGTTCTAAGTAACGAGTTCAAGTAACGAGCATTTTTAATTTATTCATATAAATATTACAAAATGTTTCTATTGCGTCCTATTGTCCTATTGCATATCCAAATGCATATAATTGCCAACTATACTGCATACCAACATTAAACATTCAGTAATATTCCACAAATTTTTAGAAAACAAGTTTCTCCTTCCGTGTGTGAAAGAATTATTGAAATCACTTAATCAGATATAAGTTCCTAAGAGAGAGAGTGCATTTTATTTAACAATTTATTTACGAGGGTGCACGGATCTTGAGAACTGGTGGCAGTATAACTGATTTCTACAACTCATGAACAGATTAAACTGTAAATAAAGAAATGACAAATATTAAAAAATGTACAAAAGGTTTGTTGTTTATCGCAGCACTAGAATTGCACTAGAACTGAGCAAGGACAAAGTGCAGATATAGATAATAAAAAACGTTACAGTGCACAGACATGGCAGATCACATATATTATTAAAATTATTAGATTCATCAGATGAAGAAGATGTAATTATAATTCCACCATTAGAAACAGTCTTAATCGAAGATAATGATGGTAAAAAATACATAAAGATGACATATATTATTACATTTACAATTAGACATAATATTATTAACATTGTACATATGCAAAAGTTGTGTTTTGCTGAACACAACCATTTGCGCGCAACATTGCACTGCTGCACTAACTCTAGTCCTAGTGTAGCCAGTTCAGTGAATTTTTGTACCGAATTTCGTTATAATGCAATAAAGAACGCTTCAGTGTATGATTCTTATACTAGTTCAGAAAGTTCAGCAATAAAAAACAAAATTAAAGATTGACACATATATAGAGGAATCCTAATCTTGCAATGACATGTTTTTTATAACAATGTGCATTTGCACAGATAGAAAAGTTTGAGCAAGGGAATAGAGCTTATTTATTTATAATTATTGTATAATGTGCATGTAGTTACGAAACTATATATACCCTTAGTCAAAAGTATTAGGCACTTTATTAATCATTATTTAAAGTTTTAGTTTAAAAATTAAATTAATTTCCTTAATGGCATTTGCTATAAATTGTCCTTTGTTTCAAGAACTCTTAAAACTTATATAGAATGTCGATAATCAATAGGTAAAAGAAATTCTGGATAAATGAAAAAAGTATAGGTGCCTAACATTTTTTATTAAAGCTTGGAGGCTTCCAATAATTTATTACTAATGGCAAAAATCCATTAGTAATAAATCAAAAGTGAGAAGTTAGAGATTGACCAATTATAATCGATTATTTTCACATTCAATTGTGATTGATTAATTTCTAGCTTCTCACTCTTTTTATTATTATTGTAGAAAAAAAACTTCTTAGAAAATTTTTTTTAATTACAAAAATAGATAAAGCGTAGTCTTGGGAGATGATTCTAGACTTTTCCTCTTCCAAGGAAAGATCATGCATTATCTACTTTTGTAATCTAAACTTCTATGTAACTGACTTTGCAATGATGTTGTACATTATACAATGCAATAGTAGTTGGAGGAAAAATACATTATACCATCTTTTTTCAAAGAAAGTTCTGAATTGGTATACATTAGTTGAAGTGAGACAAACAAGTCTAGTATATACTTTGTTTTGCTCCAATTTATTGCACCAGAGTATACCAATTCAGAATTTTTCTTGAAAAAGGACAAGCATGTATACTTATTTGTTTTTTACCACTACACTGAACTGCACATAAACTTTCTTGTTTTCGCCAAATATCAAACATATACCTGTTTCACTTTAAGCACAAAAAAATGTATACTAGTTTAATTATAAAAACAGACCTAACGAGTGTATGTACCTACGTGCGCGATCTGATAATTAATCAGAGATCAAAGAAAGAGGCCAAATAAGCTATCATCGCAATTCAACCTTGTGTACCTCGCAATTTCTAAGAATCGACTTACGATCGCACAACAATGATCCAACGTTATGAAACGTATCGCAACTCTTTTTCTTCCCTTTATTTCCTTCGACGCTCGATCCTCTGTAGGTCGTTCTTACCCTTTGTGCCACGCGTCGGTCATCCTTCGATGCCTCGATCTGGACCGCGGTCGCAGGCTCGCTCGCCTCCTTTCCGTCGTTCGTCGTCCGCGGTCGGGTCGGTCACGCGTGACGCGAGAAAGCGTATCGCGGATATCACGTGGAGTCGATTGTTTCGGCGAGGATCACGCTTTAATCTGCATAGTCATCGGTGACACGGGAGAATATACGTATAACCTATTGCGTGCGCAGCGCAGAGGACAACGGTGTAAATTGACAACACAGGCAGATTGAGTGTCGAGTGACAACACCCTGGCGGCGATCGGTTACACTGCCAGCGTTCTTACTGTTCTTAGTTCAGCGCAGACCCCTGCGCCCTCGTAAATAAACCTTTCAAGGTGAAAAGAGGCGTGATGGCACGGTTTTCGAATGCGCCGTGACGATTAGACGACAGTTAGACGATAGTTAGACGACGCCGACGCGGGAAAAGTTTTTCCTTCTTTCCACTTTTCGAGCGAGAGAGCGAGAGCGAGAGCGAGAGCGAGAGAGAGAGAGAGAGAGGCGCTCGCAGAGAATGCACAATTGAAAAAATGCAGACAATGGGAGCAATAACAGATTTCAACCTATCAGAAACCATGTATACCGGAATACAAGATTTCTGATAGATTGAAATCTGTTGTTTCTATTGCCCTGTGTTTTTCAATTGTGCATTAGGCATTAGAGGAAAGAGACCTGTTCTCTATCGAAGAATCCTCTCAACAGGTGCATAATACACTAAGTATTATAAAAATGAAACAATTATAGATGCTTTCCAGTGAGAGACATAAGGTCTATCCACGTAGCTTGAAATCCCCCAAAATTTATGCATTTCAAATGAGATGGATATATAACCCGACAATGAAAAGAGAGAAAGCAAAGATGCTGAATTCAAAAAGTGCAAGTAACACAAACAGATCTGTAGATGGCACAACGTAACCTAGTGAAACATTATGTACTCGGTATTTGCCAATGTTAAACAAAAATTAAATAACTGTATTAAGCTAATGCAATGAAAAGCGCAAGCAATAAGAACAGTTAATAACAGAAATGTACAAGAGTATGCATCAGTTCAGAGAATTGATCAATAAAAAATAGACAAGAAAAATTCAGAAGAGCATCTCTCTCTCACTCACTCACTCACTCACTCACTCACTTACTTACTTACTTACTCACTCACTCACTTACTTACTTACTCACTCACTCACTCACTCACTCACTCACTCACTCACCTGGCGACGAGCCGTCGTACTTCCCTGTCCCCAACTACTCTCCGTGATAATGTAGCCTCTTCCGTCGATGTGCCCAAGTACCATCCAAAGTGTTTCTTCACGTCAGGAGCGTGGCGATGCGGCACGGGCATCGCGGTCGCGTCGAACCAGCAAACCCCCCCTCTTTTTTTCCGAGATCACTGTCGACTGTCGCTGTATACGTTTACGTCGTACGCCAATGCTGTCGCGATTCTCGCCTTTTTTCTCCTTTGCAATGCACTGCGGCAGGCTCCTCTTGTGGTGGTCGTTGGCTCGATCGTTGGTATACGTTGATCGTTGATGGTCGGCCGCAACTATGCTTTGCAACAAAGATGGCAAGAATACAAGCAAAACGTGATGGATAAAGAAATGATGAGAAAACGGATGATAAGGAGGGGAACAGAAAAAGTGAGAGAGAAGGGAGGCCGGCGATCCAGGGGTGCGTGGAATGAAGGACCGATAATATAATAATTCTCCGTGCGCTCTCGACGATGCCAAAATAAAACGGTGATCGTTTCTCCCTTTTTTTCACTCTACCTCTTCTTCCTCAAGCTGATGCTTTTTTTTTCTTTTTCTCTTCCTATCGGCCGACGATGGTGCCGATCAGCGCCATTTTAGCGAGGCACCCACGATATCGTCTCGTTTTCTTTAACCCTAGCAAACAGAACAGACGGGGTCCGCGCACGCCACACTAGAGCCCTGAGCGCTATCAATGTTTCTCAATTTCTTTCTCTCTTTCTCTTACATTTATGTCTTCACTCACTCACTCACTTGCTCGAGCAAGCTTACGATCTCGTCACGCGGCACGGTCACTCCGTTTCGTCCCGATACCGTCGTCGTACGCGCAATCGGCGCAATTAGCGAATACTCGCACTCGTCTCTTTCACCGATATACGTATGTATTATTGCGCACCGAGAGAGAGAGAGAGAGAGAGAGAGAGAGAGAGAGAGAGAGAGAGAGAGAGAGAGAGAGAGAGAGAGAGAGAGAGACGTATGTACGCGACAGACGGCACTTTCGCTCACACTGTCCAACACAACTACCTTTTGCGAGATATTTTCACTTCATTCGTTTCCTTCGGCCGGAGGAGTCGTTCGTAGAATGCGATATCATCGAGATGCGCAATTGCATGCACGCTGCGTGTTCTAATTCACCTCACAATCCTCGCATGCATACAAACACATACATACGCACGAGCACGCTCCTCTTTTCTTCCGCCTTTTTCTCTTTTTTTCATACACACGACAGGCTGATCCTCACGTTGCGCGTCAGCCAAGTCATTTGTCGTCACTCACCGTCGCCGGTTGCCTCACTTCACTTGCTGAACACGCGACTGTCGCGACTATACACGAAACGGCGCTTTCGTGCAAATTAAGCTGGAAACACAATAGACACAAGCAATAGGCA